CCCCCCGCCCCTCCACGTCCGAGTTTGTCGGCAGGGCCAGGGTTTTCCTGGCCTGACAAGGCGAAAAGCGTGGGATCCATTACACAGCCGTTACCAACAACAACAACCACCCTAACAAGAAGCAGAGGACGGTCGTGACCAAGCGCAACATATGCCAGCGCGAGGTCCTTGAATGTCTCCCATGGGCGGATGATGAGACTCCTGATCCTGGAGATCGGATGTGGAGGCTTTTGTGTTAAAGAGGTCCGAATAAGCGAAATAATTTAGTATGGCACCATATGCCTTGATCTCTTCTTTTTGAATTCATTAAATGATGCACCTACATTTTCGTCCGAAGTCGAGGTCCCATGATGTTGTACAATGTCCTGCACATGGTGTGTTTATTGCTTTTGGCGACAGCTGCTACCAGACTTCCTAAGCCAGGAGCCTGAAGCCAGTAGCTCTCTGGCCACTACTATTCAAATCAACCCTGACAGCTTTCCGTGCAGGTAGGGTGCCCACAGTTCGCAGCACCTGCGAATCGACGGCACTTCAGCTGAAGAGCGCTGCAGACGTCACAGGCAAGTAATCTAATGCTTTTACAAGGGTCGAATAAAGCTATTGTGCTATTGGCCTTTATGAGGGCTGTATACGGCTTTATAAGCCAAAACGAGAATGAGTAGCGAGCAGCCCGTGTGACAAGATGGCATCCGCAACACCGGCTTAGCAAATTGCTTCAGGCTGAAGTTCCTGAAGGTGCTGGCTTGGGCTTCAGGCTTATAAACACAGTAAAGCATGATTATAGTAAATGCAGTATATCATAGCATATTATGAAGTATACTGTAGTATTAAAGTGTACTGCACCCCCCAAGACCTCCTGCTGCTCGTTTTTGCTCAACATCGGCCTTGGCAGTCGCGCGGATCAACCCGGACTTCCCTCTGCCGGATCGGTTGTATCCTCCTTCGATGTACCTGCCGCAGGCTCAGAGGTTTGTGTGTGGGGGGGTGATGAAGATCATGAGTATGTAATATGGTGAGGGGGGCGGTTGGAATGATCCTATAGTATACGACCTGGGGTGCCAGAAACCTTTGCGATGGCCCCCATCCTGCAACACTAAGCTTGCCAAAAAGCCCCGCCCGGTACCCAGAGAGCCCTTGTGGACTCAGGCGCTACCTCGCCCTGCCCATGGGTGCTCTGGAGGCGAGGCCGTGACTCAATGGTAGGCTTCGGGTGTAAGGCTTTTGGAGATTTGTATATGGCTTAGTTGGCCTGAGTAGCCTTGCCGTCCGTATGATTTGTCAATTCTACGTACAGCCTTAACCGCAAAACCTATCGCTGACGTCTCTACGCCGTAAACCCTGAAAGCACGAACCCCCAAAGCCTCCGAATAGCGATCCTGGCTATGTACTGGGAGCTTGTTGAACACAAGCAGGGTTTCGGGTTTGGGGTTCTAGCAGCCGCTCACGCCCGGCTCAGTTCATTTCTTGTGAACCCTGGGCCAGGGCCTCAGGAACGTCAACGAGCACTACATGCAGATGACAACACGGGGAAGGCAAAGTGGGCTTTGGGAAGTTTGGATTTCTGTAGGCAAAGGACCAGAGAAACTTGGCGATCCATGTCTGCGTGGAAGGCTCCTATGGCAGAATTTCCAGTGGTCCATCACATGTTGATGTAAGTACCATTTCAGCCATGTTTTGACCTACATACCCTACTGCAGCGGCCATGGCCGCTCTACGACAACTGATCTAGATGCGTCTCGGGTTAAGGGTTTCAGGTTCCAGGTGTCAGGGGCTGTGGGGTTTGTCGCTTATAGGTCTAAACATCTCTGAGCCTTTGGTTTCAAGTACGACCCACGACTGCACGACCGCAGCGGACACCCGGAACCTCTGCCACTTGCCGAGATGCCTCCAGAGTCTCCAGAGCCTGAAGCCTTCAATCTTGAAGCCATGACCTCCAGCATTTAAGGGCTTCCGGCATGAACTGATTTTTTGTTTAAAGAAAAAAGCATGTACTTATGTTCTGTTATCTCTCCTATATTAAGTTGTGTTGCATTTTTATTGTACTATATTGCAACCTACGCAGCATGAAAACAACAAGAGCCTCTGGCTTTCCTTGACAGGCACGAAGCTGCGCATCAAGCTGCCCAAAAGGCCCTTTGCGTGAGGAAATAAAGGGCTTTGCGGTTTAGGGTTTTATGGGCGCAGTGCTTGGCATTTAGGGCTGAGCGCTAAGGGTTTAGGGTCTTGGAAACCAGAACGGCCACGGTTAGGGCTAATGCTGGATGCGCATAGATCGTCCGTCTACCCAGATTCAGACAGGATTCAGGGACTCCCTTTCTCAAGACCCGCCCGCTGAGGCTGAACCACAAACGCCCGAAAAGCTCTGAAAGTTCCCAAACCCTTTCGGTTAAAGAAGGGCAGAAAAAAGATAGAACTTCAGGGTTTCGGGTTGCTCTTCTACGGCTTTTCCTACCGAGACCATGAAGACGTCGTCGGGGAAGAGGTAGACGCGACCCCTAAAGCAGCTCGGGCTGGGGACCCTTCTGCCCTAGATCGCAAAGTCTGGGCAAGTCCAAGCTTGGGGTTTTACAGCGCTACTTCGTAGAATAACCGATGTCCTCTAACGACTAAAACGTTTGTGGCCCTTGGATACTGGACAAGTGTCACTCAGCACCCCCAAGCCAGAGAAAAGAAATGCAACCAACTTCGAAGGTCGGTTCTGGCTGGCTTACGTAAAGGCCTCGAAGATAAAACCCAGATGTAAATCCCAAGGCCCTGCACCCCAACGACGGCCAATCCCCGATGCCTTAAAGAATACAAACAAAGCAAGAACAGTAGCCACTGTAAAGGCCATCTGCTTTATCATAACGCCTGGGAAAATGTGAAGGATAGGTTTGCTACATGCAGTGGCGATGCCAAAGCTTTGTGTCCATACATTCGCAACAAGCAACGCAGCAAAACTCTATAAGTGTACAGATAATCGAGGCAATGGTAGGATCGACCACAACTTTAAACGTAGTTGCATAGAAACAAAAGCACGATTGTCCGAACCCCGAAACCAGAAAGCAAGCCGAGAGGTCGTAGGCTCAAATGGAAACCAACGGCCGAGCCTTCTGCAAAGGCTCCAAAAGCTCCAACTCCGGCAGCCAAAACCGTGGCTCGGAGTGCGCCTCCCAATGCTTCGGATGCTGTAAGTTTGCGAGGAGTTGCTCAATAGCTGAGTAGGTCTGAGTTGGTAGCCCCTAACCGCCACTTTGTGTATAGCATGGTTGCAGCAGAATTCCCAGCGCCTGCCGGGGCCAGGGAACTCCACGGCTAGGACTTTCTCCTCAATTTCGTGACATAGGCCCTGGTCAAGGGCAGGTATTTAGGGTTTAGGATTCTAGGGTTGAGGCTTCACAAGAGGATTGAAAATTTCAAGACACTGGAACTAGAAGGGTCTTCTTTGGGCAGCTTTGCGGCTGTCGGAACCCGTCTTTCAACCGTGAATCCAGGGAGGGCCCACACTCCCTCGGAACTCCATGAGCGCTTAGGGATTAGGGGTTTAGGGTTTAGGGGCCTGAACTATTTGAGCCTGCCCCGTAGTTGTGGGGATTTGGCAAAGCCCAAAGCCCATAGCTTCTAGCGCCACTTTCAGCTCGGACCGCTGAAAGGATCTTTAACAAACAGGTTTGAAAGGGTCCACCTGGCAACTCCCCTCAGCCCCTGCCTTGTAGAACCCCGACAGGGCTCCCGTACAACCCATATAGAACCCTGTAGAAACGACAGATCATAATTGAATCATAATAGAGCCCTAGCCCTACATAGAGACTTTGTACCCCCATATAATATAGGGGCCTTAATAATTAGAATAGGGTTTGGGGGTCTATTATACGATAGACGATAAGTATAATAAGGAGGCCCCAAAAGCCTATTCCCATGATTAAGGCCCATATGTTATACACAAGCCTATAACCAAGTCCCCTCACCGAGGCCGCAGCCCCAAGCGTAGCAAGGAGGAAAAGGCCGAGAAGAAGGAGCCACCAAAGGAGGAGGCGGGGATTTAGAAGGGGAATTGGTGTGTTCTGTGTTGCGTGTTGTGGTGTTTGCGCTGCGTGTTTCATCAACCCCCCCCCCCCCCCCGGC